ACGTCGTCGTCCGTCCGTCCTCTCTCTCTCTCTCTCTCTCTCTCTCTCTCTCTCTCTCTCTCGGCCGTTCGTCCGTCCGTCCGTTCGTCCGTCCGCGATCTGCTTGCGATTCAAAACCTCAGGATACTTGTTGCATTGCCTGCTTACCGGTGTACCCACACGCGGCCTGCGCCCGCGCGTACACACGCACATACGCACGCACGCGTCGATTTTTATTGCGCGTAGCTCGACTTACCTTCGATTCGCGTCTTTTCTCTCTCTCTTCTTTTTTTTTTAATCATCCAATAATTTTTACTCGTGCTACTATATCGAAACGTTCGAATGAAGAAACCAGTTAGAATTTTTCGAGATACGTTATATTATTCCTAAGAATAATTTGGAATTGGAGGAAAATAATTTCGAAATGAAGTGAAGCCCCCCTATCGTTGGCCACCGATGTCGATCTCGGTCGATCTTGTTCCTCGCGTAAGTACACGAAGCCTCGAGTAAATCTTATCGAATTACCTTCTCTCCTTGCCCCGTACACAAACACGCGGACACCGTGTTCGGCTTTCGCCTTTCCCATCCTTGATTAAGTTATGCCTCGCCTCCACGGAGAGAAACGTTTCCTATTAAGGAGGAGGAGGAGGAGGAGGAGGAGTGAGGCATCATATCCCCCCTAGCTAAATATGCCTCTCGCGAGGACATCAAAGTTCCGTTATTACTGGCCCATGAATTTTCCCCGATGGGCGTCGTGAAACGCCTCTCCTCCTCCGCGTGACGCGTTTGACAGCGAAACGAAAGGGGTCAATCACGAGTGCACCGCCTTTCTCTAATCCTCTTCAGGTGAAAATACCTGAAAATGCCGAGGAAATAACTGCGGGGGCATACCTCTGATGCCGGTTCAGATGGAATTCTGGAGCCGCACATTTCGAGGGGATTTTGAAATGCTTCGAAAGAACACAGAAAAGTCGAGACTTGTCCGTCCGATGCGAAACAAAACGTTTTCATTCTTATTTCTCGATCGACGTTCGAAATCGACGAATCTAACGCGTCTCGTCTCCGTTTGTTCCAGATCACGGAAACGTACGCGTTCCTACCACGCGAGGCTGTGACGCGGTTTCTTTTGGGCTGCACGGAATGCCAACGGCGTCCACGTACCCCGAGCCCGACCAACCTGTCCAACCAGTCGCAGCAGGCGACGCCGCTCTCGACGACCGGCCTCACGCCGTCCGCCACGACGACGACCACGACGACGACGACGACCCCTTTGAGCCCCAACGCCACCGCCTCCTCGCAAACCAGCGGCAGCCCGAAGCAGCGCGAGGGGAGCAACCACCACCACCACCACCACCATCACCACCACCACCACCACGAGGCGGCAAGCCTCTGTACAGCTACAGGCACCACCAGAAGCATCACCACAAGGGTGGTGGCCACCCCTCGGGCGAGAAGAGCGACAAGGAGAAGGAGGAGAAGTACAATCCCCTGAGCATCACGAATCTGTTGAAGAAGGAGCCGGTGACGGGCGGCTTCCTGCCGGCCGCTGACGGCCTGCCCGACTCGAGGAGGACCCCGGAGTCGGACCGCGCCAGCTCGAGAAGCTCGGCTTCCTCGAAGAGGAAGCGGATGCTGCCAGAGGGCCGGACGCCCTCCCCCCAGCCGAGCCACCCGTTGCCAAGGCCTTGGAGCCCTGGACTCGATCCCAAGAACACGCCCATCGACTACAGTCTTCCCATCACTACCTCGTACCTGAAGCATCAGCAGAGGCTGCAGCAGCAGGCGGAGAAGAAGAAGGCGGCTGCGGCCGCGGCCGCCGCCGCCGCTTCCTCCTCCTCCTCCTCATCCTCCTCCTCCTCCTCCTCCTCTCCTTCGACGGTGGCCAAGGAGGCCGAGATGGAGCAGAAGGTGGACGAGGCCCTGGTGGACGCGGTGGAGAGGGACAGATACTCGCCGGCCACGGGCCTGATCGACACGAACCTCAATCTGTTGGCCACCATACAACACCTCCACTGCCAAGTGATGCTCGCCCTCACGGAGAGGCTCAGACCGTCGATCGCCATGCCTAGCCCCCTCGTCTTGCCCACCATCGGCAACGTCCTCTCCACGGGGATGATGCTCGGCTCGGAGGTCTCGGTCCAGACGGGCGAGAATCACGCGACGTGAGAGGCCACCACCTTGCCTCCACCCACGCGTCTCCTCGCCGAGTATCGAGTATGAGGCTACATTACGCGCGCACAATTTTTCTATCGTACGTCCGATCCAAGGAAGGATCGATCCATCGATCGAGGAAGCAAAAAGAGCGAAAGCAAGGATTGGTCGCCTCGGTTTGCGACGAAAATGAACGAAAACGAGCGTGCTCGTATCGTTTGTTGAACGCCTCGTCGGTGGGATAATAATCGACCAGATGGGGGGGGGAGGGGGTTGTATAACCGATATCTCTCGGAGATATGGTTAGGTAGCAACGCGATCGTCTATTAAACCGGATGAGATCAATTAATTACTTGGTCAGGCGTGTGTCAACTTTCGAAATCGTCTCTCTCCCGATATAGAACGGGGAGGGGAAGAGAGAGGAATTATTCGCGAGTCTGTCAAAAATATGGGTCGGGTGAACGGCGGCGGCGGCGTCGTCGTCGTCGGGGAAACAAGATCCTCGATATTTTGAGATCCCAATCCATCCCGGGTTGGACACAGATCCCCCCGAAAATGGAACTTGGTTTCGACGGGGAGGAAAGGACGGGTGCTTGAATATTTGAACAAGTGGAAACAAGATCGATGACGGACGGGAGGGAGGGAGGGGAGATATTCTCTCTCTCTCTCTGCCACTTTTCGTCTTTGGAAGTCGCGGATGGCGAAGTGCGATGATTCGATCGATCGATCGATCGATCGATCGATCGATGATGATGATGATGATGAGGATGAGTCTCGTTGTTTTATATTTCGTTGTTTTCGAGATTTTTCTTCTTTTCTTTTTTTTTGGAGGATCGAGAATTGCTCGTCACCGATTTTTATTTCATATCTCGTAAAAAACGCACAATTACGCTTAAATCGATTTCGGGGAGGGGGGGGAGGATGTTATTACTACTTTTATTTTTTATTATTATTATTATTGCTACTACGTGTACCAAAGGCGTTGCAAGGAGGGGGGGGGGGAGGTGGGAAGAGACGACGATTCTTTTTTTTTTTTTCTCGTTCCTCTCCTTCAATGGAGAAGGAAAGATTTTTCGGCCTGAATTGTTGATCGATTGCGTTTCAAGATCGTATTATTATTATTATTATTATTATTATTATTATTATTATTACTATTATTATTATTATTATTATGCGATCGAAGGAACGAGAAACGAATATCTCGTTCTCGAGGGAGGGGAGGGGAGGAGGTGGGGAAAAAGAAACTCGTTAGAAATTTTTTTCGTATTTTGACCGTGATTGTAGATTAGCCTTGTGTGCGATATTAAACGACGGAGGAGAGAAAGGGAGAGAGGAGAGTGAGAGAAAGTATATATATATATAAATATATATATATATAGGGGTAGTAGTTTTCTTCTGTGTATTATAATTAGCTTGCTCGTTGTAGACGTCGCGCACGATTGGCGTGAACGCGGCGTGTTTGTACTAGGAGTTTGATAATCGTTGTGAAAGTAGAAAACAGAACGGAAGTTCGAGTAACGAGATAGATAGATAGATAGATAGGTAGATAGATAGATAGATAGATAGATAGATAGCGAGTGAGAGAGAGAAAGAAAGAGGGATGAGTGAAGTTGGTGGATAACGCTCGAATCTATTATTTTGTATATAATATCGTTGTAACATAGCGCAGTTAGTTGTTAAGGATAAAGAAGCGCGCGATTGTATTATTATTATTATTATTATTATTATTATTATTATTATGAGTAATATTGCTATTATTATTATTAATTATTATTAATTATTATTATTATCGTGACCAGTTATCATCATTATAATTAATTAATTGATTATTATTATTTTATTATTATATTTAAATTGCACACGAACAAGATGGGAAAAAATATATGAAATCACAAAATCCGAACGAACACGGCTCTCTTCATTCTTATTCTTATTTCTCCTCTTTTTTCACTGTGTATATATATATATATAATTCCAATTGCACGATACTACCTGAATTTGAACTTTGAGAAGAGAAAGACGAAGAAACGGACGGATTACTTGAGAGATGGGAAATTATATAAATCCAAGTATAAATCCAAAATATAATCCAAAATAGCAATCGTCCTATACCTCCGTAAAAATGAGAAAAGCCTGTTTCATTGCCTCCCTGTCATCATTGTGTATATATATATCGTCGCGAATTCGCCCCCTTCTCCACCCCGAAAGAAAAATCAGGAAATCCCGTGGCGAAGATCCACGAAGCGAACAATGAACGCAATTGACACTTCTGGAAAGAAGGAACAAGAGGAGGAGGAGGAGGAGGAGGAGGAAAAACGAGGGGAGGTTCGTCGTCGAATCATCGTCACCTCGACTTGTACTTTAATATCACGGACAAAGAGGGATAGAATGATCGAGTCCCCTTTAACAAAGTATGGAAAGGGCAAAGGCAACCTTCCCTTTCTCTCCCCCCTTCCTCTCTCTCTCTCTCTCTCTCTCTCTCTCTCTCT